TATTACGTGGAATCACAGGGAATCATGACTCTCTATGTTCTATAATTTTCCATCTATTCCATCACTTTTTTCGTGGTAGACTGTTGACATCAACCAATTTTTAAGCTAATCTCAATGCTGTCTCCTCCAGAGAATCATTTCCCAAACTTCCAAGTGAGATGTGGACCATCCTTTGCCGACCATGTGATGCAGTGAGAGCAGCTGCAGCATCTGCTCCTGTCTGACAGGGCTGGGGTCTTACCCCCTCAGAGTTCTGCATGGTGCCTGGCACATAATAGATCTCCCTGGGATGGTTAATTGAATGCAGTTGCCAACTGGCCTTCTCCATCAAAGAAAATTCTCACCTTCGTTCTCCATAACACAGAAAAATGATCCCTTTCACTCTCTTTTCTAAATTTCCTTTTCTCCCAGAGAAAGTCAATAAACCATGGCATCTAGGGTGGAAAACATTCTCTAGCCTTCTCAGGAAGTGACTTAACAAGTAGTAATAACAAATGGGAGAAGTGTTGGGAACCATGTCAGTAATAAATTATCTTACTGCTCAGTCCCCAAAAAGAGATTTCCAATATCGTGTACTTTGAGGTTCCAAAGAACTTGAGTGTCAGCTCTTAATTGGTTCCAAATAAATCAAAACCTTAGCAAATATAATCTACATAATCACATGGCTATTAAAAGGAAATGTAAGATCAAAGATAATCCATTCATGTACAAAGATTAAACGTCTCCTTTGGCCAAAATAAGTAATGCCTTTTACTGAAAAATAGCTTCACACAGACATATTAAAATCTTATGAATAAATCAAATCATTTTCTTTCTTCTTTTTTCTTTCTTCTTTTTCTTCCTTTTTTTAGTCTTTTTGAGGTTTTGAGACAGGGTTTCCCTTAGTCACAGCTGGCCTGGAATCACTATGTAGACCAGGCTAGCCTTGATCTCACAGAGATCTGCCCACTCCTACCTCCCAAGTGCTGGGATTAAAGACGTACATCACCATACCAGGCTTTGTTTTTGGTTTTGGTTTTTGATACAGGTTCTCACTATGTAGCTCTGGCTAGCCTAGAACTCATTCTGTAGACCAGGCTGGCCTCTGCCTCGAGTATTGGATTTAAAGGTGTGTGCTTTGAAGCCCTTCATTTTTAAGAGGCGAAGTTAAACTAAATGCCTCCCAAGTTCTCTGAGTCTCAACAAAGATGTCCTTAAATGCTACAGTGCTATTCATCACTTCACTCCCTACCTTAGCTCAGTGTCTTTCCCATTGCAGACTCAATAATTATAGAAAAAAAGTTGTAAAGATCCTTTAAATTAAAATTTTAATGGCTTGTAATTCAGGTGTTAGTCACAGTTCAGATGATTCCATATATAAAAATAGGCTAAATAGCATGGGCAAGATGCTCTTTATGTATTCATTTTTTATTTTTAAAATTTTATTTGTATTTTACATGTATGTAAGTGCACCACATTCATGCAATGCACAAATAAGTTAGAAGAGGGTGTTGGATCCCCTGGAACTGGAGTTATAGATGGTTGTTAGCCACCATGTGGGTGCTTAGGAAACTAACCTGGGTCCTCTGCAAGAGCTGTCAATGTTCTTAACTACTGAGCCATCTCTCCAGCTCCAAGATGCTCTTTAAATATCTGAGGCAAAGCAAATTTAGGAGTAAAGTGATTTTTTTTCCAGATATCAATTTTCATTCCTTCATTCCGGAAGTACTTGTTAAACATTTGTTAAGGGCTGGTCCCTTAAGCCTTTGTAAGTCTTTTGCTGGATATGCCTCATGCATGTGCCATGTCCTTTGATTCCTGAAAACTTCACAAAGATTAAATTGTTAAAATAATCAGGCCTTGAATTTTGCACCAGTAATATACTATCAGTAAGACAAATTTCCTATCTTAAAAGAATTCGTAGTATAGTGAGAATTGTAGAATAAAGATATTGGGGGCTAGTGATAGACTGCAGGTTTAACATGCACAAGGCATGGGGCTAAATCTGCCCCCCAAAGCTGTGTTAGGATAAATAGAAATTAATGTAGAATACATGTATGATACCCCTTTTATAGGGTCAATACAGGTTGTGGGTATCCAAGTTCACATAACAAACCATCCCCCCTCCCAGATCCTGACCTCTTGTCAAAGTCAGGACAGAGTTTTTCCCTGAGAATTGCATCCTGGGGCCCAGAGAGAAAGTCTTAGTTTCTAGCAGAGAGAAAATACTGTCACTTGGGAGCTAGGGCACTGAGTGGCAATTGGTCTGTTGTATGACTGGGTAGAAAAGAGGTCACCCTACCTGGATGGAGTTGATCACCAGAGGGCAGAGGTGCAGGGCAAGGGGAAAGAATGCCCACTTCCCACAACATTCCTGTTCTTCATTTCAGTCATCCTGCGTGCACCTGCATTCCCACCCTTCCCCTCAATCTGAAAGACTGCCTCAAACCTAACAATAAATTCCTTTCTTTCTTTCTTTCTTTCTTTCTTTCTTTTTATTTTTATTTTTTCCTTTTTAAAAAACAGTGTCTCGCCCACTATGTAGCTCTGACTGACTTGGAACTCTGTGTAGACCAAGCTGGCCTCAAACTTGCAGCAATCCTCCTCCCTCTTCCTACCTTCTGAGTCTTGGAACTAAAGGTGTGCACTACCAAGCCCAACCAAATTCCATTTTTAAAATTTAACTTTTAGGGGCCAGTGGGTAAAATGACCCAAGTTCAATCTCTAGGACCTACAACAGAGAGAATTGACTCCCAAAAGTTGTCCTCTGGCCTCCACACTGTGCACCATGGCTGTTGCACACACACTTGCAGGTACACACACACACACACACACACACACACAATAATAATAATAATAATAACAATAATAATAATAATTTTTTAAAAGTTTTAACTACTTAGGCCAGCTGTGGTAGTCTATACCTGTAATCCTAGCACTCTGGAGGCAGGGACAGGAGGACCTCCACTTTGAGGCCAGTCTGGGCTACCTAGTAAGACTTTCAAGAAAAAAACAAGAGATGGGGATCTGACCCAGGGATAAAGTTTTGCCAAGCATGCCCTTGGGTGTGGGCCTGAGCCCCAGCACACAAACAAACAAAGAGGTAAATAAACAAATAGACAAACAAAGCAAGCTACTGAAAATGGATGCAGGAGAGAAAGAGAACAAATTGTCAAACAATAGTAGATTTTACCTTGCATTTTTTTCTATTTTTTTTTCAACTCAAAAGTTGTTAATACTTGGGGGATGATCAAGCTGATTGGCCTCAGCATGAATCATCTGTTTATCTTTATCCAATCAATTCTGGCTGAAGGGTTGGAGTAAAAAAAATAACATGATTACTGAAAACCTGCTCTCTAACCCTGAGTTGTGGTAGGGGCCAAGGAAGCAATTATCAGAAGAAGAAAAAATATTGCAAAAGCAGAGAGACATTCAAACTCACTCTTTTAAAATATTTATTATTTTTATTTTATGTGTATGAGTATATTGCCTGCATGTATGTGAATGTACCTGTGTCTTGCAGTGCCTGTGGAGATCAGAAGAGGGCATTGGATCTCCTGAAACTGGAGCTATGGATGGTTGTTAGCTGCCATGTGTGTACTGGGAATTGAACCCAGGACTTCTGCAAATGCAGCCAGTGCTCTTAACCACTGAGCCACCTCTCCAGCCCCTCAAACTCACTCTTATTCTCAGGTGTTCATGGGCTACATAACCTTTTAATTCCATTCTGATAACTGATAACTATTCAGACATCCCTCCAGTTCCTTATTCTATAGATGCTCCTTTTCCTGGGTTTTCTGTTAAACAGAGAAGCAGAGACATTCTCCACCACTTGGCAATGATTTGAGATGACTCAGGGCAAAAGAAAAGTTGACAGTTTTGCAATATAGGTTAAGCATCCCTAATCTAATAATCTGAAGTCTGAATTGGTCTAGAATCTGAAAACATCTTGAGCACTGACAGCATGCACAGGTGGAAAATTCCATGCCATGAATCTTTGTTTCATGTCAAAATTATTTGAAATATATAAAATTACTATAATGCTATGTATAGAGGGCATATAGGGAACATAAATCAGCTGTGTCTTGACACTTGATCTTGGCTCTGATCCCAAGATATTATGAATATGCACATATTTCAAAAATCTAAAAACACCTGAAATTGGAGACACTTCTGGCCTCAAGAATTTCCTGTAAGAGCTACTAAGCCTATACTACGAAAAGTTCAGATCTTCTACCACAACCATCAAAGCAGCCAGTGTGTACAGTGTTGATCCCGAGAAGACAGAGACCAGGAATCATCAGTTACAAATACCTCCATGGCAGAGCTATACAATGATCTAAAAGCTTCCTGTTCTGAGATCAATGTTTTTACAGGGAGCAGATGCTATAGACACAGAGGCCCACTGAAATGGCCCTATCCATTTTTTGTCTTTTATTTATAATTCTCCAATTAGATGCTCATCTCAAGCAAATAGCCATGATAATTTGAATTAATTTGAGTAGCTTGAAGCTGACAGCCTTAGCATTCAAAAGAAATGCTTTTGTTACAGTGCTAATTTATTGACATGGTGCTAGAAACTACCACCTCCCTTGATCCCCTCTCAGTCACATCATGCATTCTCAGTAGAAGTGACGTATTCACAAGGGGATAGGAAGTGGTCCAGAACCTTCCTCATCCTTCTGTGGGATCTCTTCACATGGCCCTCTGGTTGGATGTATATGGATGGTGTGTTCATGGTTATTAATGGGAGAAGCAGCAAACTTCCTATAGAAGGGCAGTGTTCCAGAGGCTTCTATGTAGGGGAAGGAAGGGTGTATTCAGTTTCCATGGTCAGTGTGGAGGGAGCCACTCTGGGGACTGGCAGGGAGAAGGAAAGCATTCTGTTCCTACATGTTCCTCCATTGTGCTTGGTCTCTGGCAAACAAACATGGCCCTTCTGTAATATAGGAAGCCATGTGTTCTGTCTCAGAAGACTCAGTGTTGTGACTGCAATTTTTTTTTTCTTCTTCCTTTCCCAGGTGTGAATGAGCCCAGGGGAAGACATGCTGTCACTGCTAAAGGAACAGCTGATTTCCATGTCATTTGCATGAACCCTGCTGTGAAATGAACCTAGCAATGACTTGCCTGATACTTCTGATACTTCCTCCCTCCCCTTGTTGAGCACTCCAGCACATTGTTCCAGGGTTGTTTAATTGTGTCCTGTCCTCCCTCTTGCCAAGGCAAACATCCCAGTCTCACAGGAGGCGTCCCCAAGCTCATCTGCCAGTCTGAACATGAACATGGGTAAAGCTAATGATAGTGAGCGCTCCCAAGGGACGTGGGGCACCACAGGGTCCAACCCTCAGGAACAGGACCTCTCATGATGCTAGTGGCCAGGAGTGAGCACCATGCCCATAACCCAGGACAATGCGGTGCTACACCTGCCCCTCCTGTACCAGTGGTTGCAGAACAGCCTGCAGGAGGGCGGGGATGGCCCGGAGCAGCGGCTCTGCCAGGCTGCCATCCAGAAGCTGCAGGAGTACATCCAACTCAATTTGGCTGTGGATGAGAGCACAGTTCTCCCCGACCACAGCCCCCCAGAGATGGAGATCTGTACGGTGTATCTCACCAAGCAGCTGGGGGACACAGAAACTGTGGGCCTCAGTTTTGGGAACATCCCTGTTTTCGGGGACTATGGTGAAAAGCGCCGAGGGGGCAAGAAGAGGAAGACCCACCAGGGCCCTGTTCTGGACGTGGGCTGCATCTGGGTGACAGAGCTGAGGAAGAACAGCCCAGCGGGGAAGAGTGGCAAGGTCCGGCTGCGGGATGAGATCCTCTCCCTGAACGGACAGCTGATGGTTGGAGTTGATGTCACTGGAGCTAGGTAAGCAAGCCAGCATGTGGCAAGGATGCTCAGCCCCAGGGTCCACTTATGGTTAATGTGGGGCTGCACTGCAGAGCTATGGGTCCCACTGGTAAGTTGATGGCCTTTGTCTGCTACAGGAAAACACACTGAGTCCTGGGTTTACATTGCCTCACAACAACCCCAAACTTCACAGCAGATGGCAAAGGGTTTAGCTTGATGTTTTGTGACTTGCTTCCTCAAAGTACCATTTATTGTGCAACATCTACCACAGTGGACATTTGCCAACCAGCAGCTCCCTGAATACCTGAGTTGTGTGTTTTCTATTTAGCTCCATTCATTAAGAGAACCTAGGCTCTCAAAAGTATTTACCCTCTCCCTGAGACTCGGAATAGAAAGAAAAGAAACAGTACATGAAACAATAGTATAAGAAATGTCACCAGCATCTCACTAGCATTCAGAAACCCAAAGGTGTTTTATCTGCCCATCCTTCATCCCCTCACTTAGAACATACATGGGGCCCCCACAGACTCAAAGCCCAGATACCCATCCTGGCAGATCTGCTGGAATCTTGTGTGAATGTTCATGAGCATACTCGTGTTTTCTATCTATGGGCCCCTAGTGGCAGGACATTAAGATTGGATCTTTGTGTTGTTTCCCCCATGAACTAGGAGTCCCTGTCAAGGTTCAGATTAACTGGAAGGACTCAGGGAACTCAGAAGAACTGTCATCATTACAGTTCATCCCAGTGAAAAGCTGAGGACTGAAATCAGCCCCTGTGGGGTCTAGGAGAGACTCTGTGCCAGTTTCTCTGTCTCATCCCAGTGGCACTGTACACATGGTGCTCAGATGTCCCTACATGGAGCCTTACCACCAGGGAAACTTGCTCAAGACTCAGTGGCCAGGATTTCTATGGGGATTGGTCATGTGGGCCTGACTTTAGTCATCCAGTTTCTTTTTAAAAATATTATTTTTATTTTATGTGTATGAGTGTATTGTCTGCATGTATATAAGTGCACCCATGTCATGAAATGCCCACAGAAGTCAGAAGAGGGCATTGGAACCCCTGGAACTGGAGTTATGGATGATTGTTAGCCACCATGTGAGTGCTGGGAACCAAACCCTGGTCCTCTGCAAGAGCAATCAGTGCTGTTAACCACTGAGCCCTCTCTCTAGCCCATCACCCAGTTTCTTGTCCTTCTAGAGGTAAACTAATGCCTTATGGATCAGGGCCCCCACATAAACCACATGATTAGTATAAGCTATGTAGCATAGCTGAGTGCTCCCAGATATGCAGTGACCCTCTCTTCAGGCAGGATAGTCTACAGCCTGACATGTTGCTACCTTCTAGAGCCAGTCTGGGGCCAGTCTTTTCTTTGGCATGTAGGCAAGTTGAATGCCTCAAACTTTCAAACTTCACCCTCTCTCTCACCTCCTTGGCTCCCATTGCCTCATAACAACACAGCCTATGACAAGGTGACAGCTTGATTTTTCAAGATTTGCTTCCTAGCCTTTTTGGAAAAAATTAAAAGTACCATTTATCAGTCCAACACAGTGGACATCTGCCAGCCAGTACCACACTTAGTGCCTATCACATCTGTATACAGAAATCTTAAGTGGGAGACATTCACCACATTTAACTTGCCCAAGATCACCAAAATAAGAGGTAGAACACAGCTTTGTCTAGCTCTATAGTTGGTGCTCCTAAACCTCTAACGTGCCTTTGTAGTCTTGTGGCCTTACACATAATTTCATGGTGGTTTGTAGCTACACAAAATACCTCCTAAGTAACCACGCATACTGGGGGAAAAGTGGCTAGAATAGGCTAACAAGACTTCTTCCTCCCCAACTGACAAGGAAACAGCTGTTTGCCTCATCTTATAAAAGGAAACTCAGTTTTTACATACTGAAACTTGGGATAGAAAGAAAAGCAACAGTACTTGAGAATCAGTAGTATGAGAAATGTCACATTGAGCTAGATTATATAGTGTAGCCTGAAATCTCACTGGTAGTCAGAAAGCCAAGGGTGGGGATCTGGATGTGTTTCATCTGGCTCCTCACCAAACAAAGAATTCACTTTGAAAGTTCTAAAAGTTCAGTATCAGGCAGCTCTGTGGGTTTAGGCTCTGGTGAAGGCCTAACAGTGGATAGTGTCACCACAGGAACATTTAGTGAGAGAAACTGCATCATCAGACAAGAAGCCAGAGAGAGAGTGAGGCTCTGCCTTCCCTTACAGGTCATGCTCCCAGGTGACCCAAGGGCCTCCCACTCAGCCCTGCCTTTTAGTCCATAGCACTTGCCAGTATTGCCACACTAAGGACCAAACTTTCAACACATGAGCCACTGGGAGACAGACCACGCCCAAGCCCTAACAGAAATCCCTTTGGCTAACTTAGATGCAGCCACAGTTTGGAGACTAGATGCTTGTCAAGATCTAGGTATAGTTGTTTCTGAGTATCTGAGCGGGACTGTTTCCAGGATCCCCAGTGTCTATCAAAGTTCAAGAATGCTCAAGTCTTTCATTTTCATGTAATATTTGCATATAACCTATGCACAGCCTTCTATATTCTTTATCTCTAGACTATTTATAATACCTTATACAATGTAATTGCTATGTAAATCATTATACTGTATTAAGAAATAGTAATAAGAAAAGAAGTCTGATCTGTATATGCTTACTTCATATGTAACTTTTTTTCTTTTTAGTACTCTTGATCCGTGGTTGCTTTAATCCTCCAATGCAGAGCCTGTGTATACAGAGGGCTGACTGTTGGGATTTTAAAGTATTTTTGAATGATTTCAAGATGTTCATTTTCTACTCAAACCTGACAGTTTCTACCTCACATGTGGAGATTTTGTCCTAAGAAATGGTGAGGAGGAATTAGGGTTCTGCCAAGACTCCAGTGTACCTCTGGACACCTCAGGTGACAGGGGCCTAGTCACCCCTAAATCTTTAAGAAATGCATTTCAGGGGCCAGAACACCAACTTCTCATCCATCTCCTAACAAGATGAATCATACATAATAGAAGACACTCTTTGGGACCATCTGGTCTACCTCTCTTGAGTTTGATTCTGAATTCAAAACAGTTTTATGTGATGTTATAGGAACTGTATTCCCTAAGTTTCATATGTGAAGTCCTAATCCCCAGTGCCTCAGAATGTGACTTATTCAGAAGTAAGACTGTTGCATGTGATTAGCTAAGATGAAGTCATACTGGAGTGGGGACTCATAATGCAATAATCCTGGTATCTTTATTAAAAGCTAATTTGAACAGACACACAGGGAAAATGCCATTTTAAGATGAGTTATGCTGCCACACGCCAACAAATTACCAGGAGAAGGGAGTAGATCTGTCCCCAGGACCTGAGGAGCCTGGTCCTCTTAACACCTTGATCATGAACATCTAGTCTCTAGAGCTGTGAGATAATAAATTTCTGTTTCTTAAGCCATTCAGTTTGAGGTATTTTGTTAAGATGGCCTTGGGGGACTAACACAGGTAATACTTTGACGCTGTCATCTTATGTGTGAATTTTCCGACAATTTTCCCCCTGATGTGAGACCTCTGGTAACATTAGAGCACTGTGTATGTTTTAAAAGAAGGTGGAAGAAGGCACTTTGTGAGTTGCATGTGTTGAGTGTGGGAAAAACAGGTGCAAGATGTAGAAGATGAGATAATGGTTTCTTATTTCAAAATTACTTCAGGATCAATTTGGAATGCTCATCTCTCAGGAAAGAAGAGAAAATGCGTAGCTATGGGTGGGTTTGACAGCCCTCCTATGTGGAACCTCAGACCCAGTATGGAACCCAAACCTGTAATAGCCCCCTGATAGAGGAGTACAGTTTGCTTCTAGGCTCCCTGAGGAGTTCTGGGAAGTCCTCATGCTTTGGAGTGGTGACAGCTTCGTCTTGGGGTGAGCTTCCAGAGACCATTCTGAAAGAGTGAATTCTGTCAGTCATGTTTATTGTCACATGCCCCTCCATAGGCATAGCTCATGGAAAAAGGTTCTATTTGTAAGTTCTGTCACAACCACTTTGAGGAAGATGGGATTTTCTGGAATGTTCTGTTTACTTCTGTTTGGTGTAGGAAGAAACTAGGAAGGTTTTTAGATTAGTTCCTACAAGGAAGATTTTCTAGCCCTGTCTATCCTTCCACTAACTTTCTGTAAGGAAACCAGATCTATTCCCTGAGGACAGATTATTCCAAATTGGTAACAAAATGTGGAATTAATTAAAATGAAACCCACACACCAAAACAAAAGCAAATAAACTTTTCTGGAAAGTGAAAGGATCCACATTTCACTTTTAAAATGTGTTTTTTTCAGGATGTAAACTCTGGACATTTTTATATATTAATAAACATGAACAGAACATGAGGTAGTGGGCACAGGCCTCTGAGGGAGAGGCTCTAGTTTCCAGGAGCCTCATGACTGTGGGCAAGTTACCTTGGCCACAGGCAGCTTATTCTGATTCCCTAATGAGAGCTGTGTGTTGGATGAGAGATGATTTACCTGGCATCTGGAAAATACTTAGTCCAGACTACCTTTTACTACTTGGCTTGGGCAACCTGAACCCAGAGCACGTGTCATAACAGAGAAAAGGCTTTTGAGTTTGAGGGAAAGAGAAGAGCCTCCAACTCTGCCAGCTCCTCAGTCACGCAGACACACACAGGCGCTTGAAAGAATCCAAAGGTACAGGGGTCATGGAGTCCCCCAGCCAGACAACAACCGTGTGTTTCCAAAGCGTGAGGAGCCTGGGTAACCCCAGAACCATGTTGGGCAAAGTAATTCTGGGATACTTGGGGGCAGCACTGGAGCTGCCATAAAGTAAAGACTAGCTTAGTACCAGTCCTGGCCAGTGGAAGCCTTCAGTACAGTCCTCTCCACCTCCAAATCCTGTGTCAAATTAAATTTAGGGTTGGTATAAGCTTAGACTCTGGTTACCCATGGAAACCTTGAGTTCTGTCTGGATTATAACAGATTTAAGCAGAGCATCAAGAGGCTACCAGAAAGTGTTACTTAG